AGACCCCGCAAAAATGCTACGACTGAAATGCAGATGCCGGGATTACAGCAGGAGGCGGGCGGAGAGCAGATGCCGATCGTAATGCCGACTCCGACTGGAGTGCAGAATGAAAACGTACCTAAGAAGCGCGGTAGACCCCGCAAAAATGCTACGACTGAAATGCAGATGCCAGGATTACAGCAGGAGGCGGGCGGACAGCAGATGCCGACCGTAATGCCGACTCCGGTTGGAATGCAGACTGAAAACGTACCCAAGAAGCGCGGGAGACCGCGCAAGATTCCGGTTGAAATGCAGACGCAGGGTATCACTTGCTTTTTTCCTCTCGGAAGGAAGAATGTGCTCGGAATGCAGCCGCCGATGGGAATGCAGAGTCCGGGCACTCAGCAAACGCCGCTCGAAATGCCGACTCCTGTTGGAATTCAGCCGCCGGCTGACGAGTCGCCGAGCATCAGCCGCTTTTTCCCTCTCGGAAGGAAGGCGCTCGGAAAGCAGTCACCGATCGGAAATCAGTCCCCGATCGGAAAGCAGTCCCCAATCGGAAAGCAGTCCCCGGTTACACAGCAGATGCCGGGCACTCAGCAAAAGCCGCTCAAAATGCCGACTCCTGTTGGAAGTAAGCCGCCGGCTGATGAGCCGCCGAGTATCAGTCGCTTTTTTCCTCTCGGAAAGAACACACTCGGAATACCGACACCGGCTATGAATCAGGAGCCAATGGCGCGTGGAATGCAGACACCGATCGGAATGCAGATGCCGGCTTCACCACAGTCATCGGACGAAGAGAAAACATCGAATAAGAAACAGAAGATTGATAAAAAAGGTAAGGAGCCGAAGTCGGGGGAAAACCAGAAGCCCGATAAGAAGAACAAGTCTGAGAATCAACAGAAATCGTCGGGAAAAGAGCAGCAGTCGGGTGGAAACCAACAGCCGGGTAAGGAGCAAAAGGCGGATAAAAAGGACAAGTCCGATGCCGATAAAAAGATGCCGACTCCGATTGGAATGCAGACGCCAGTCAATATGCCACCGCGTAGCGGAATGAATGCTCCGTTCGATATGTCGACGCCGATCGGAATGTGGGCACCGAACCAAATGTTTACTCCGGACGATATGTTTAATCTGAACGAAATGATGCCGCCGGGCGAAATGTGGAATCCGGACGATATGTGGTCGCCTGTTGGAATGCAAACTCCGTTTGATCTGATGGCCCCACTTGGATGGTGGTCGCCACACGGTTTGGAGACGTCGACTGAAGCAGGCAGCTTTGGACCTAGCTTTTTTGGAGAAAGACCAAAGTCACCAGAAGAAGAGAATACTGATGAAATTGTGAAAGTGGATGATAAATACCTGTGGCCCCATGGCCTCTGTCCACCCTTTCGTCATGTGCGCAGGCGTCGCATAAGGAACGCTATGAGATCTAAGACAGTTGATCCACCAGAGCCAGAATTGGTGCGCGAGCTCAAAGCCCTTTTGCGCATGGATAACGAAGCAGTGCGTGTGGAATTCGAGGTGCTTACTGAAGACACAACTATGCCAGATTTGCCAGAGCTGAATCTATCCGATACCTCAACCAGCAACTCCGATTCAGAAGAATCAGGGAAGTAAATCAAATAATTAATAGTCTCGATACAAAA